GGGGGGGGGCGGGGAGCGGGAGGCGGGAGGCGGGGTGGGGCTGGGGCGGCGGAGGGCGGGGAGCGGGGTGGGGGAGCAGAGGGCGGGTGCGGGGGCGCGGACGGCGGGGAGGGCGGCAGGAGGTCCCCCCGCCTTCCCTCCGCGGCTGCTCGGCCGCTGCACGGTTGTCACAGAAAACAACCGGCGGCTGACGCTGCGGTCGCGAAGCACGTGTTCCCCGCGGCGGCCTCCGGAGCGGGCGGACTAACAAACCCGCTCGGGGCGGGGGACCCAGGAGTGCTTGGTCTCCCGCCGCCCTTCTCCGGGTTAGTCCGGGTCTGGGGCCTTTGCACCCCCCACCCCGCGCTTGTGCCTGTGGCCGAACCGGGCTTGTGTCTGGGGTGGGGGAGCCCAGGCGCTGGGGCGCTCTGCTGCCTGTTGAACGGCTGGCGTCGCCCTCGCAGGGCAGACACCAGAGGCTTTTTGTCTTCGCGGATTCCTTGAGCTATTTTTGAGCCGGAATTCGGCTGCTGGGACGCAGCCCGACGTGGCGGCAGATTTCAAGGTCTAGAACCGCAGAGGCTGAGTCAAGGCCAGCAGCTCCCCTTGTTTGCCTAGCGACCTTGCAGGAGCTACTGCTCCTTCCGGGCTCAGTTTGCTCGGCTGTGAAATGGGAACAACAAAATGAACCAGCGTTAGAGGACTTTTGTGAGGATTAACCGACGTGTCATCCGTAAAGCATATACTGCATACATTTTAGCAATTAGAAGGCCTTCTGGAAATCCTTTTTCCCCACATTTTCAAAGTTCTTGTTTTGAAATAATTGCAGACTTAAAGAAGTTGCAAAAACAGTACAGAGGTCCCATGCACCCTTCCCCCAGCTGCTTCCAGCGAACTAGCCTAGGTAACTGCCGGACATTACGGAAGCAGGAAATGCGCACTGACACAATGTACTAGTTGGACCACAGACCGTGCTGGGGTTTCACCCGCTCTTGCTTGCTGTTGTGTGTATATAAACTTACATGAAATTTTGTCACGTGTATTCATCAAGGAACAAAAAAACTGTCTCACCACAAGGCACCTACTACTTGCAACCCCTTTGTCAGCACTCCTTCCCCACCCCCAACCTCTGGCAGCCAATGTGCTTCATTTCCATAATTCTGTTCTTTTGGGGATGTTAGATAAATAGGATAATACAGTATAAAACCTTTGAGATGAGCTTTTTTCCCCACTCAGCAGAAAGCCCTTGAGATCCATCCAGCCATCATATTAGTAGTTTGTCCATTTAAAAATATATATTTATTTATTTCAGAGAGAGAGCATGGAGGTGGGGAGCAGAGGCAGAGGGAGAAGCAGACTCCCTGCTGAGCAGAAAGCCTGATGCAGGACTCCCAGGACCCTGAGATCATGACCTTAGCCCAAGGCTGACACTTAATTGACTGAACCACCCAGGTGTCCCAGTAGTTCGTTCATTTTTGTTGCTAGCACGGATATGCCACTGTTTTTTATTCATTTGACCTATTGAAGGATATGCAGGTGTTTCTAGTTTTTGGTTGTTGCTATCAACATTTGTGTACAGGTTTTTATACAAACATAGGTTTTCATTTCTTTAGGATAAATGACCAATACTCTTGTAATTCTTACAGAAGGAGATATTGATCCATGTAGCATATGCTAATGACTGTGAAAATAGTGAATGTTTAGGGGAAAAAAGTGTCCAGTGTGATTCTCTGGGCCAAGCAAAAATGTCCATAGACTTAACAAAACACAGAGGGAAGTTTATTAGCTATGAGAGGCAGGCGGGGCAGTGGGCAGGCCTCCAGCTCTAGTGGATGCTTGTTCATCTCTCAGAACTCAGTTTCTTCATTTAGAGGGGAGGAGGTGGACTAGATTTCCTTCAGGTCCTGCCAGCTCTAACATTCTATGAGACTGGAACTAGCTGCCAGGCTGTCCCCACTTTTGAGTGATGTAACTGTCCCTGAGGAAAAATATCAGTCATCAGATTTGATTTCATAAAGTGCTTAGATGTCTGAGTTAGTTGTAAATGTGTGGAAAATAAACTTTGTAAAGGTGTCTAATATTATTGAAGGTTGCTTGCTAGTAGGTCATGCTGAGCGGGTCATCAAATGTTAAGGTTAGATGTAACTTCAACACCCTCCTGTTCAGCTCCTTAAGAGTGATCTGTTTGTTTCAATGAGCAACTTTTTGTATCCTTTCATCTAGATCTTCACAGTAGAGCTGGTTTAAGCCCAAACACACACATATGCACACACAGCAAGCAAGAAGTTTCTAGAACTCATAAGGAAAGAATAGGAATTAAGCTGGAACCTCTTAAAAATGCCTTGTGCCTGGGGCGCCTGGGTGGCTCAGTGGGTTAAAGCCTCTGCCTTCGGCTCAGGTCATGATCCCAGGGTCCTGGGATCGAGCCCCGCATCGGGCTCTCTGCTCAGCGGGGGCCTGCTTCCTCCTCTCTCTCTGCCTGTCTCTCTACCTACTTGTGATCTCTATCTGTCAAATGAATAAAAAAAAAAAATGCCTTGTGCCTGCAGGGTTGAGTGCAACACGGAGTAGATTTGGTATAAAGAGTGTTACAGATGAAAGGGGCCTGGAGGTGAAGAGGCTTCAGGGAAAGACACCAATAATATAGAAATATCTGTCTAAGGAAGTGATGTATTAAGATAATGAGTGACCTGCCCTTAAACTGCTCAGGTTCCAAGTCCTGACTTAGGCAATGGCTAAGATGTATTAGATTATCTAGGAACTAGTCTCATTTTCCTTCCATCAGCTGCTTCCATCTCATAGTCATACCCTAACATCTCAGTGCAGACAGGAGCCTGGTGGGTAAGGAAACTGGGGGAAGCAGGCTGGGTAGAATAAGGCAGTAGGGAAGGGTGGAGACTGTGACTAAGAGAGCCTAGGACTTGTCTATAGAGGGCAACCATTATACCAATTGGTGGCTCCATGGAAAGGTGGACCCAGTGTTCCCAGAGAACCTGATTTTTGCTCTAGATTATGTATGTGAGCTTTTTTCTATGTTGGAAGCTCTAGTGTAGGCCTTAAACACCTTTCTCGGGAGTCACACCACCTGGATTAAAATCCCCCCTCTACCACTTATTAGCTATGGGATCTCTCACAAGGGTTTGTTCTGTTCCAAAATCCTTTGAGCCTCTATTTCCTTATCTATGAGTGGGAATAATGCTAGTACTCAGTACCTACTTCATTGGATTGTTACGAGATTTAGGTAAGTTCATGCATGTAAAACATTTAGAACATGCCTGTTATATAAGAAGTCCTTGATATATGTTAACTGTTCTAATTCTTATTCAAAGAGAAAAGGGACCAGATGACAGGTCTGTAGGCCCCATGCTGCCCATGGACAGCCAGTTTGAAAACTTTGACGCTTTGAGTTTAGGGAGTTAGCTGTGGCCCACAGAGGTTAAATGAAGTGCCAAGGTCATTCAGCCAGTTAAGGGTGAGTGGTCCCTGGAATGCAGGTTCTTCCCCCCTGCACTGTGGTCCTTTAAAGGATTAGAAAAAGTCCCCAGAGGGGTTGCAACTTATGACAAAGAGAATGGGTAAATGAACCTGGTGGTAATATTAGATTTACACCTAGTGGCATGGATGGGCCTTTATAATATGGTGCTTGGTAAATCAGTAAGAAGTGGAATGGTCCCATTTATGTAAATGAAGAAAAAATGCACATACAAGAACGATACAGATATTACAAGGTGGGTAGAAGTGAGAGGGTACATTTCAAATCTCTGAGAGGGGTTTTGCCTGTGCAGGGAGAGCAGTGAGCATGGGATGCGGGCTAACAGCCTAAAGCAAACAGGAGAGGGGCCTTCATAGGCCAGAGATGGTGGGCCACGAACTAGGGATCTGATTAGCTCTCCCCTTCCACGAACCCCTCCTCCCCTACCTCACCCCCTCAAGAAAGGTGGAGGCCAACCTCCTTCCAACCTTTGTCTCCCGCCCCAACCCCTGTGGTGCGTGCTGTCTTCCAGGTGTGAAAAGCGTCTACCTTCCCAGGGCTTCACAAAGACCAGGCACCGGCCGCCGCGCGCCCCCGCCCTGGACGGCCTGCGGTGGACGTTCGTGAAGAAGGGCCTGGATGACTTCCGGAGGGGCTGCCCGCCGTGCGAGGCTCTGCTCACTCGGGGTCCTCAGGAGGCCTTTCTCCCCCAGATCCGTCCCCCAGCTCGCCAACCCGTCCCAAAGAAGCGGCAGCACAGGTGGCCCAAGGGAGCAGCCCCGTTTCCCGAGCTGTCACCTGCGCAGCGGGCGCGGGGGGCCTTCCTGGCAGACGTGGAAGCCCAGCGGACCCCGCACCCTTTGGCTCTCTACCCTCATCTGGGAGAGGACATGCCCGTCGAGGTGACCTCCTGACCTAGGGCTGTGGGAGGGCCTCCAGAGGAATCCCCCTTAGACGTGGGGGAGCTCCTTTGAGGGGTGACGTGTTTGCGGGGTTGGGGGGACAAGTGAGTGCGCCCCGGGGGGCTGGCGCAGCCTTCCTTGCTCCCGGGAAGGACACTGGCAGCAACACACTGGCCACTCCCTGTGTTTGCTATGAAGCCACACAACTTTGAAAGGTCCAGTAAACCAGAAACATTCGACGTCTTCACCCCGAAGTTCTACCAGCCTGCTTCTCCTGGGCCTTTTTGAGGGCAGGAGCCACCGGGGACATCGTCAGTCTTGCTTCTGTTCCTTTAGCCTGGTGTCGGGAGGTGTCCGTGTCACTTAGCTCTCAGATGGGGTGGGGGCCCCGGGGAGCCCGCAAGGTTCTGGGGAGACTGACCACATGGTCAGTCTCCCCACATGGTCAGTCTGGGTTTGGATGGCGGCTGCAGTACACCCCGCGTCCCGGGCTGCCTTTGACTCTGAGCTCCCGAATCCTTAGCCTGTGGCTCCCGTTCCTGTATCCCAGGGCGCTTCCAGGCCTCCAGGCATCCAGTCTGTCTTTCAAACGAGAGGGGGAAGGGGGCCAAGGTTAAAGGGTCTGGGCCAGTGGACTGTCTTTTAATTAGACAAATGACAACCTTCGTGGCAAACATCTCATTCCTCTGACCACTTCTAGCTGCTGTGGGACACTAGAAAATGGAGTTTCTTGGTTGGGCATTGAGACGGAAAACAGAATCTGGAATATAATTCTGTTAGATTTAAGGAAAAAGGCGGAATGGATATTGGGCAGCGAGCTTACAGGGCCTGTTGCCCTGCCCACGCCCACGTAGTCTGCTCCCTAGGTCACTCCGTGCGCCTGACTTCTCTGCAAAGCCCTCCCATGGCCCTTTCTTAGTCAGAGTCAAGTCCTCGCCATGGTCTGAAAGGCCCTGTGTGCCTGTCTGCTCTCTGCCCCACCTCTGCTCCGCTCGCCCTCCAGCCTCCCCTCTGCTCTCACCCCGCCCTGGCCGTGCTGACCTCCTGGCTGCTCCGTGAACTTAAACAAGCTTGTCCAGTTCTGGTCTCCCTTCCAACACCTTCCGACACCTGCCCCTACACGTCTGTCTGGCTCACTCCTTCACGTCCTTCAGATCCTTGCTCAGATGTCTCATAAAATAACACTTCCCTTCTGTCCCATCCTCCAGCAGTCGTTGTGACCTATTTTTCGTCATGGCTCTTGTCACCCCTGGGCTCCTGGCTGGAGTAGAATCTCTAGAAGGGCGGGGACTTCATCGGCATCTTTCACTGTGTTCCACTAATACCTGCCATGGGGTAGACCCTCAGTAAGGATTTGTGCAAAATGAATGAATGAAATAGTGATTAGTGGCAGAAGAGTCTGCAGAAAGGACAAACCAGAATTTCTAATCAATTTTCCGCTTGGGGCTTTCCTCCTCTGCCTCCTACAGGCCAGAGCTTCTGAGCCCATGACAAGCAGATTATTTCCACTTACCCCCAGATGGCACTTGGGATTGTGGCCCTTATTTCCATGTCTGACCTCCCTAGAGAGGTGTGTTGGCTTCTTTCCGAGGCGGGATCTCTTCTTATGGTACCATGATGGCCACCAGCTGCTCCAGATTGAAATTCTGCCAAGAAAAAGAACACCTCTTTTTGCACGCTTCCAGCAAAATTCCATCGCCTAGTTCCCATGGGTAAAACCTGGGTTATGTGCCTGTTGCTAACCAGTCACCATGGTCTCAATTATCCTGGTCTGCCCGTGGAGCAAGGATGGGGTCCAAGAAAAATCTAGACACTGTTATGTATGGGAGGAAGTTAAAAGCAAAAACTCTCTGGAGGCACTTGGCTCAGTCGGGCAGTGAGGGACTGGGGTAGGCCCAGGGGCACTATTCCGTCTGGAGGAGATGGAACGTAGCACAACAGCCGATCCCTAATATCTAGGTGGGGGACACCTACCCATAGCGCCCAGCCCAGGACTCGCACAGAAACTGATGAACGGCTTAACCGCTGGAAAAGCAACGCAAAGGGGCATGTTGGTCTGTTCTGCTTCTCTTTTTTTTTGCACATTTGTCTTCTCTCCAAGGCTGTTTTCTGTTTGCAGCTCTTATTAAAGGTGCTGGAAGTGCTGGATCCCGACAGGAAACTGGAGGACACGTGGGCTTATTGTCAGGGTGTCAGGAAGAGAGCAAAGGAACCAGCCAAACTTTTAAGAAAACTTTCCACCCAAGTCGACCCGGGCCTGTAAGTATTGTCCTTAACCCCGTGCTGGTTCTGTCACCCGACGAAACATTCGAGGACTTCCCTTCTCAAAGCTCCTTTTGAATAATTTCGAGGAGCAAAATAACTTAAGTTCCCAAGGAGAAGGCAAAGAAGCCTTGGGTCCTCCCGTGAGTAGTGTTTATTTCAGAAATGGATGTGAATTACCCAGCAATAGACCCGACACGGGTACATGACTCTAGGACAGCAGTTTGGGAAGAGGAAAACTGCAGAAAACCTGGCTAACTGGCCCACAGCGACTGAATGATCTGTGTCAGAAGCCTTTTACTCAACGTGATTGGGACCAGTAGTTGGCTGGAAAGCAAACCAAAACAGAAAGATGAACACAGGGACTTATGCAGAATGATATCAAGTCCTTGAAGCATTTCACTTTACTCTAAAACGTAACAGTACATTCACTTGCTCAGTCTTTTTTTTTTTTTTTTTAAGATTTTATTTATTTATTTGACAGACAGAGATCACAAATAGGCAGAGAGGCAGGCAGAGAGAGAGAGAGAGGAGGAAGCAGGCTCTCCACTGAGCAGAGAGCCCGATGCGGGGCTCGATCCCAGGACCCTGAGATCATGACCCGAGCCGAAGGCAGAAGCTTAACCCACTGAGCCACCCAGGCGCCCCCTTGCTCAGTCTTTTTATGTCAAGCCTTTTTTGGAGTGTGTGCCTGCTTGAAGTTCCCAGTCATCATTTTTGCCTAAACTACACCAGGAACTCTACCTTCATTAACCCATTTCCAAAGCACTAAGCTTAATTTTCAAAGAAACCTTCTTCTTTTGTATCACACTCTTATATTCCCAGTTCACATAATTAATCTGAAATGTTAATGTGATGATAAGTATGCTACACAAAAATAGATTCGGGGACACTGGGGTGACTCAGTCGGTTAAGCATCTGACTTCAGCTCAGGTCCTGGGATCAGGCCCCTAATGGGCTGTGCAGGGAACTAGCTTCTCCTTCTGTCTGCCCCTCCTCCCACAACCCATGGCTTGGTCTCTCTTTTTCTCTCTCTTAAATAAATAAATAAAATATGAAAAAAATAGTTTTTGGGTACAAATTTGACTTGTGAATTTAGATGATGTCACTGTTGGGCCCTTAGGAGTGTGGGTGAAGGAGAGAGAAGCTGATCCACAGCCCCCAGACCACTTACATGGTCATGGTCAGGCCCCAGGCCCATGGTCAGGGTGTGTGGAAGGGGCCACGTTAGAGCTTTTATTCAATTATACATGTTTGCTGACGTGAGACACAAGGTGACAGGAACCCAACTATCCTGGCCCCCTCATAGAATTGGGAAAAAGAACTGGGCACACTCATCTCAGCTCTGTCCTTCTTCCAGTAGGAAGCAAGATGGCGCATGGGAAACACAAATCCTGTCTGCTCTTCCCTTCCTGAGGGGACCCCCGGCCTGGCCCAGCACCACTGGAGCCTGCTGGGTGCCGGGACAGTCTGCCTATTTCTGGGTTTCAGTGACCAGGTCCTTTGGACCTAAATCCATGTGCTCCAACATGGTTGTTGTCAGCAATAATATTTTGGCTTTCATCTTTGCTCTTTGTATTGTTTTGCTCAGAACCTGGGGGTTGGGGGGAGGGAGAGGAGAGTTATAAGTAGGGATCCCCTTGGAGAGCCCAGCAGGGTGGGTCACTGTGGCCCTATGAACATCTTCAAATTTTTTGATCCTCAGCGAACTGTTAGCTGGTTCTCTTTCTGTAGAACGAAACGAAACGAAATAACAGTACTTGCTGAGTACCTGCTATGGGTCATAGACAATGCTAGGCTCTGAGGACATAATGGTAAACAGGTTAGGACCCTGTCCTCATGGTGATTACAGCACGGTGTGGAAGGGAGCAGTGAATACATACAGAAAGTATGCATCTTAGTTCACAAAGCCGTATGTTTATAAAACACCACTTTTCTCTTTTTTTCTATCTATGTCTGACCCCATACCCTCATCCCAGCGAGCAGCAAACTAGTCATGGTCATCATTTGTACTATAAGAAAGCGGGATAGGTCCCCAGTAATTGCAGGACTAAATTTCAATCTCTTTCTGGTCTTTGGGACTCTTCTCTCCATTCTCGCTGTTTGTGGTACACCCTGTGCACCCCCTGTCCCTTCCCATGTCACCCACAATGTCGAGTATAATTGGTGCAACAAGCTTGGGCTTCCACCAGAGAGATGTTCTGCCTTTAACAGTAGGCAGTTTCCCTGGTCAACCCTGAAAAAATCTTCAGGAAAAGAAATTAAAAAGCAAATGTGTTGTCTACTTAGAAGGAGAAAAGATAATAGTATAGAGGAAGTGAGCAAAACTAATATCTTAATAAATTATCATCACAAAATGAATGTGTAATTGCCTAATGGCAAGGTTTTCCGTCAGTGTAGTCTTTGCACATTCTGTTAGCATGTCCTTGCTCGTGCCTGCTGTGTAAAATAACATGAATCTGGTGGCTTAAAACAACAGAAATTTATTATCCCACAGCTCTGGAGGCCAGAGTCCAAAATCAGTATTACTGTGCCGAAATCTAAGTGTCAGCAGGGCCATGTTCCTTCCAGAAGCTCTAGAAAAGAACCCACTCCTTGCTTCCTCAAGCTTCTGGTGGCTACGGGCCTTCCACGGCTGTGGCCATGTCACTCCAATCTTCGTGATCAAAATCTTCAAATCTCTCTGCTCTGTTTTCACATTCCCTTCTCCTGTGTGTGTGTGTGTGTGTGTGTGTGTGTGTGTGTGTGTGAAATCTCCCTCTGCACTTCTCTTACAAGGACACTTGTGATGGCATTTAGGACTCACCCAGATAATTCAAGATAATCTCCCCATCTGAAGTTCCTTAAATTAATCATATGTATAGAGATGATTTTTTCAAGTAAAGTAACATTTACAGGTTCCAAGGATTAGCACCTGATCCCTTTAAGGGCCATCATCGGCTTACCACAGGGTGAGGTAATATCTCCCATCTTTAAAATAACTTTTATTGAGCACAGAGTCTCTCCTTTCCTTTAGAGCAAAATCCATGAAAGAGGTGTCCATACTTACTTCCTCTTCTTTCTTTAACTCATCAGCGCTCCAATGGATCTGCCCTTGGTCATGGTCGCCATTAACTTCTCAGTGATCATAGTGCTTGATGGGCCAATTGTAGTTGACACAATTGATCATGTCCTCTTTCTTGAAACACTTTTGTTTTTTTTTGTTCACTTGGCCTCAGGTCACCTCTCATTCTTGGCTCTCGTCCCCCTTCAATGATCTTTCCCTAGTCTTCGTTTGCTGGTCCCTCCTCATCTGCTTTTTAACCTTGAAGTACATTGGACTCGGTCGTCTACTGAGGTGACCTCCCCTTGCCCAGCTTTATATGGATGTTCAAAATTTGCCCTTGAATCTACCCTTGTCATCTCAAACTCAACAAGTCCACACTGAACTCTTGATTTCTTCCCCAAACCTACTCACCCTTCTATCTTCTCCAGATCATTAAATAGCAACTCCATTCTTCCAGTTACTTTCGAAACTGCCAACAAATCTTAATGGCTTTACCTTTGAAATATATCAGTCATACCTACTGTGTGACTGTTGCTCTGTTCCAAGATCCCACCATCTCTCATCTGAATTATTGTCATAGTTTACTCATTGGTCTCGTAACCTCCACCCAACATAGCCCCGCTCTCTGCCCCAGTCTATTTGTCACACAGTAGGTAAAATGATTCTATTAAAAACTTAAGTCAGCCTCATTCCTCTACTCAAAATTCTCCAGTTAAGGTAGAGCACAGGGAATGTAGTCAGTGGTATTATAACAGCCTCACAGGGTGGCAGATGGTAGCTACACCTGTGGTGAGCCCAGCGTAACATGCAGACTTGTCGGACCCCTGGGTTGTACACCTGAAACTCAGGTGACATCATGGGTCAAGCACACCTCAATTGCACAAACATACTGCAACATCGATATGATTGCCATAAATGCTATGTTTTTCATTTAAAAAATTCTCCAATTACTTGCTTATTCAGAGTAAAATCCAAAGTCTTACAGTTGCCTCTAACGGCTCTTACGATCAGCCCCCTTACCCATCGGGCCTCACTCTCTGCTACTCTGTCCTTTGGTCTCACTCCTCCAGTCACACGAGCCTCTCTGCTGTGCCTCGACCACGCTCAGCACACTCATGCCTTGGCTCCTTTGTACATGTTTTTTTCTGTCTGGGTCTGCAGTTTGATATCTGCTTGGTTTGATCCATTTCTTCTTTGGGGTCCCTGGTCAACTATCACTTTGGTAGCGAGGCCTTCTCTGTAGAAATAAAAAGCCCCCCGTCAACACTGTCCATGCCTCCTACCCTGTTTTATTTTTCTTAATTTTCTTTATATTTTTATTTTTCTTTGTATCACCTGGCATAGGCTTACCTCTTTCCCATCTGTTTCAATCTTAAGTTCTATGAGGACAGGGTTTAAACTTTATTTACAGCTGAATCCTAATGCCCGGAGCTGTGCCTGGTACTTAGTTGGTGTTTAATAAATGTTTGTTGAATGAATGGATGGATGAATTAATATATGGGTGCTCTGAATAAAAGGTACAGGGTACTGGGAAGGAAGTGTGGGTTCTGGGGACAGCCTGGGAACACCTCCCTGAAGAAGGGATATGTATGTCAGAACATAAGGGAGATGAGGGAATGCAGAAGGCATTGCAGTCAGATGGTGCAACATGTGCAAAGGCCCTGTGGCTGAAGGGAGTGTGAGGAGTTCATGAAACTGAGAGAAGGCCGTGATGGCTGCAGCTCAGAGAGTGAGGGAGGATGGTAATGGCAGAAGAATCTAGAGAAACAGGCAAGGATTGGGCCATGAAAGGCCTTGGAAACTGAGTTAAGACAGGTCTTTAATGGAAGAGTAATAAGCTATTGAATAAAAAAACTTGCGCTTGAACATTTGTTCATAGCAGCACTGTGCATGATAGCCCAGATGTCCATCAACTGATGACAGATAAACAAAACGTGGTCTCCTCAGACAATGGAATCTTAGCCATAGAAGGGAGGAAACCTCTGATACATGCTATAGTATGTATGAACCTTGCAACGTACTAGATGAAAGAGGCCAGACACAAAATGCCATATGTTTGGGGCACTTGGGCGGCTCAGTTGGTTGGGCAGCTGCCTTTGGCTCAGGTCATGATTCCAGGGTCCTGGGATTGAGCCCCGCATTGGTCTCCCTGCTCAGTGGAGAGCCTGCTCCTCTCTCTCCCTCTGCCTGCTCCTCTGGTTACTTGTGCTCTCTATCTCTCTGTCAAATAAATATAAATAAAATCTTTTTTTAAAAATGCCATATGTTATAAGGTTCTATTTAGATAAAATGTCTAGAATAGGCAAATCCATAGAGACCAAACGTAGATTACTGGTTTTCAGGAGCAGAGAGAATGGGGGAAATGAAGAGTGACTGTCAGTGGTTATGGAGATGCTTTTGGGAGGCAATGCAGATGTTCCAGAATTAGATAATGACAGTGATTGCATAACTTTGTAAATGTATGGAAGCTACTGAATTGTATATTTTGAAATGGTAAATATTATAATATGTGAGTTATATCTCAACCTAAAAAAGAAGCTATTGAGAGGTTTAATTGAGGGTCGTTTGCTATGACCAGATTTATATTTTGAAGTGACTGTTTTAGCTGCAGTGCTGAGAATGGATTACGATTTGGGGGTTTGGGCCCTAGGGAAGATCAGAGACACCAGTGAAGAACATTTGCAATAGTCCAGAGACGGAGATAGAGTTAAAACCTACCAGATTTGTTAACGGGTTGGATTTTAGGGATGAGAGAGAGAAGTCAAGGACATCTCCTGCTTGTTAAGATTGTCAATGGCTTTAGCGAACTCCAAGCACAGTAAATGGGCACATGCCTTAATAAATGGTACTCATGGGGCGCCTGGGTGGCTCAGTGGGTTAAAGCCTCTGCATTCAGCTCAGGTCATGATCCTGGGGTCCTGGGATTGAGCCCCGCTTCGGGCTCTCTGCTCAGCGGGGAGCCTGCTTCCTCCTCTCTCTCTGCCTGCCTCTCTGCCTACTTGTGATCTCTGTCTGTCAAATAAATAAATAAAATCTTAAAAAAATATATAAATGGTACTCATAATTTCAAAATATCAACTTATACTAATAAAATGCTATATTCATTTTAATTATTATAACAACTCATGATATACTTGCCTTTATGATATTAATAATGAGAAGGTAGTCTTTTGAAAATTAACGTCTACCTTGTATGAACTTGTGAGAGACTATTAGAAATGTGAGCATTACCACTTCTTTCTTTAAGATAGTGTTTGAAATCTATTTGGATTCATGGTGTCTCATCTTGTAAGGCTTTGATGATCTCATTATCCTTAGTCCCAAGAAGACTGCTGTGTCACATCCAGGTCAATGGCTTTATGAAGAAAAGAAGCCACATCACACAGATTTGCTCCATGAAGATGGTCCTCTTATCCATGAAAATGTGCGCAAAGGAGTTAGGGACTTCTGCAACTGGGCTACTACTTTTGTAAGTTCGTAGTAATACTTACAACCAACTTTTTAAAGTCAAGCTCAGAGTTGCTATTATTAAAAAACAATGTTAGGATATGATCTAAGCCAAATAAAGTCATAAAGGAATTATGATTCTTCCACCATTTATGATAGAAGTGTTTCCTATAGATGATGTTTCTGGAAAGTTTGCAAGCTTTTTGAATGCTTACTGTTTATATGCCACATTGCTGCTGTTTCTTTCTTTTTAGTGGCTTTTTTTTTGCCAACTTTATTGAGATATAACTGACATATGATATTGTGTAAGTTTAAGGTATACAATGTGATAATTTGATATATATAAATATGCATTTATATATATATATATAT